GAGGAGAGAATCTACAAGCCCCCTCTGATCACTAAAATCTATGTTTATTGCCTGAATTATCTGAATATTTCAAGCAAAGGTGTTTAGGGCCTGGAATATTCATACTGCAATTTTTCTTTTAACGTTGCATGTGTGAACCCAGTCTTAATGGTGATTTGTATTCCATTTGGGAATGCTTTTAGTTTGGTAGAAATGACCCCGGTGAATACTCTCTACAGTAACACAAGGCTATGATACATTTACAGTTTGGCTAGCAATAAAATGCAGACGTTCGAAGACTATCTATTTTCAATGTAATCGAAGAGTAAAAGCTATGGTGCCAAGATTTTTAATTTAAAATTCAAATATTTCTCACTTTTTAAAAGAATTCCCAACCTGAGGTTTGAACATCAAGTAGCTTGGTTAAATAGATAAGCAATAGAAACCTTTCATTCTTGGCAAAATTAATAATTCAGAGTACTATGTATCCCAAATCCATAATTAACATAGAAGCATAAATATTATGATTACATGTTTGATATAAAAATTTTTATATTCTAAACAGTGAAAACCCAGAGCAAATATAAAAAACACAGAGAGTCAAAAAAGGAAACACCTTGAATCTTTTTTTAAAATCAGGAACCCAGTAATGAGTACTTGTATTCATGTGTGTGTTTGTTTTTTGGTTTATTTTGCTTACCAGTGATTATGTGCACTCTTCAGAGAGACACGAAGGGGGAGAAATCTCCCCCAGTGGGCCATACTCAAGCCACAATCCCTTCACCATTTCTCCCTTCTGTTGATATTTTTAGGTTAGTGTACACACACACACACACACACACACACACACACACACGTACATACACACGCACACACATGCACATATGCACACACACACCTGGATGCTTTTCAAGCCACCAGAGCCAGGATTCAAACAGCAGTAGACTGTACGGAATCTGTTTCTCTAACCACTTAGGCTACAGGGCCAGCCTAGTAATGTGTCCTTTTAAATGTATTTTTTTTTTGTAAAATCAGAAAATCAAATAGTAAAGAGTTCCTCCATTAATAACATGACTGGGCAATTACAAGCACAGGAGTTCAGAAAATGTGTTTGCTTTGTTTTGTTTCTGTTTTTTGTTATTGTTGTATTTGCCACAAGGGACATGCGCTTGCTGAAGAGAGACAGAGAGAGAGAGAGAGACAATGAGAGAGAAAGTAAGAAATCAACCCCCGGGGAGATGGTCACACCTTAGTCCCTTCTCCATTCTCCTTCTGGGACTTTGCACATGCCATGGACATACGCCCAGATTGGGACTTGAACCCTAGCCAGTCATGTTTGAGTCCAGCACCATAACCCCCATGCCACCTCCTGGCCCCACCAAAGGAAACTTCTTGATGACCCAGTGTTATCCTCTCTGTATTTCCCTATCATCCTCCTCACAGGAACTGCACAACAAATGGTATCTTATTTGAGAAGAGAGAGTGTATCCCACTAGCAGAAGAGCTACTCGGTGGGTTTCTCACACATACTCTCCAAAGAATAACTTGAAGCTCGTGTTAAAATGTCAGATTGCACAGTTCTGTCCCAGACTCCATGAATCAGAATCTTTAAAAAAGGGACCAGAGAATCCATTTAATAAGTGCCCTGTGTGAGTCGTGTAATCAAGCAAGTTGGGAAATTGTACGGTGTGAGATCACTGGAGGCATCCCGACAAGAAGAGACAGTTCTATAAAATTCCAATTTATCGTTTAAAGCCTCCACAATTCGGCCCTACCTTAACTTTCCAACATCATTTCCCTTCATTGTCAGACAAAATCCTTTCATGACAGTCAGGCTGGTCTACTCACAGGAAGAATAGCAGGTGGAAGGGGTATGGTATTAGCATAAGAATACCTGCGTTTGAATCCTGGCTTATATTGATAAAGAGTTTTGTGATTCTGGCATCATTAGCAACCCAGCTAGTTTCTACGCACCTGGGCTCGGCTATGATTAATAGCTAGGACAGTTCACCCTGCACTTAACACTTTCACTGGAGGAACACGTCCTGGCTCCTCTATAATGAAGACAACTAATCTGGACTTGTCCAGCTGCCTGAAGACCAGCCAAGTGCTGATCTCCCTCGACCTCGCTTTGTCCTCAGGGTTCTATCACCTGCTTAGAGTGGTCAAAGCTCATGTTATCAGTAGTCAAATTAAGCAACGACTTTCTAATTTTGCTGAAACTAAGAATGTGACTCAATTAAAGAAGCTCGTTGATGCGCCTTAGTTCCACAGAGTCATTGTCACCTCTGCAGCAGCCTCTGATTCGCTAACCCTCAGCAATTCGCATGCCTGGATGCTAGACTCAGAATGGCTATGCCGCTGTGACCCAGGAACACTGAACCAAAAGCCCCCAAGGCCACAACTGGCATCTCATTCACCTAATGGATAGAGCATGTCTCCTGTAATATGTCACACTTTAAATTATATGCTCTTTCATTTAAGTGTCACAAAATTGGGATGACTAATCTTGTCCATGACAGGCAAATGCCACGCAGATGGCTCTGAGGAAGAGATTGGGCCCTAAAACCAGTACCTAATTATAGACCAGCTGGGCAGGAATGGAGGCAATTTGTATGAGTAGATAGCCCTTTGTGAGTCAGGAGCAGATATGCTTGAGCAAGAAAGGACTAGAACCTCGGTGAGAGGCAGGGAAATGAGAATAACAACACTGTGAGAGCGGTCCGAGGTGAAGCACCTGAGGTAGATTAGCACATAGTAGGATCTGTCATTGTTAGATCCTTTCCTTCTTTCCTTACACTGTCCTAAACAGGCCCTGCCCATTTCCCATGTTTGAAGCTTTGCCTTTAAGAGCCCAGCTCTTGACCATCTCCAACAAGCCAAATCAAATCAGTTCAGTCTTGGAACCAGCAGTTAGCGTAATGGCTATGTCGCTGGGATCCCATGTAGTCAACTGCGGTTCGCATCCCGGACCCGGAGGCTTAAAACTCACGCCGGGCGCGTGTGCGTGCATGCCCAAGATTCTGAGAGGAGAATGGAGGAGAAGGGATTGTGGCGTGACCATCCCCCCCTGGGGGATGATTTCTTACTTTCTGTCTCTCTGTCTCTCTCTGTCTGTCTGGCGAGCGCACAGGCCCTATAGCAAAACCTCTCCAAAAAAAAAAAAGAAAAAAAAATCAGTTCAGTCTTCAAGGTCCCATTAAACCTCCTACCACGTCTCCTCTGCCTTTGTCACTTCACTCTACACCACAAGAGTCTTTCAGTATACTAGGATTCAGGGCTAGCTCCATGGTGCGGCAGTAATGCCCTCTTTGAGAGAAACTGGATTCCATACAGCAACCATGATTTGGGACCTCAGCCAGTCAGCCTGAAACACGAGGCTCATGTGTGAGTATCCAGGACCTGCTGGGCTGGAGGGCTGGAGAGTGGGGATCACAGTGTGACTAGGCTCAGTGGAGGGTGGTCCTCTCTCTCTCTTTTTCACTGACACTCATGTTGTGCATGTATGTTCACTTACCATGAATAAAGAAAAAAAATACTTTTAATTCTAAGATTTCCATAATATTATTAGAAAAAAAGTGCTAACAAATATTGATGTTAATTCATCTAACACATGGTACGCATACATTTTTTTCTACCAAATGAGCTTATAAGGGAAGGAACAACACTTAAACTTCTGTGTATTTCTTAAATACAAATAATATGATGGCCAGCAGATGGCATAGTAGTTACGTCGTTGGACTCCCACATAGCCAACCATGGTTTGAATCCCAGACCCGGTGGCCTGAAAATCATCCAGGCACATGTGTATACATGCCCAAGATCCCAGGAAGAGAAAGGAGGAGAAGGGATTGGGACATGGCTACCCCTGGGGGAAATTTTTCCATTTCCCTCTCACTATCTCTGCCTGTTTCTGTCTATCAGTCTCTCTCAGGCGAGCTCATTTAACCTAAAGAAAACCCCTCAAAAAAAAAAAAAAGAAAGAAAAAGTAGTATAAAATCTACATAGAAGGAAAACTACAGTGAGAAGTGACCACTCTTGCTTCGTTTTTGTCTTTGTTTTAGCTATAGGGCACGTGTGTTCTCCAGAGAGAGAAAGTAAGTAATGACCCCCTCCAGGAGAATGGCCACTTCACAATCCCTTCTTCTCCATTTCCTCTCAAGATTTTGGGCACCCAGATATGTGCATCTTGTATGTTTTTTTTTTCTTTTTTTCTTTTTTTTGGAAAGGTTTTTGCTATAGGGAGCATGCGCTCGCCAGAAAGACAGAGAGAGACAGAGAGACAGAAAGTGAGAAATCACCCCTCAGGGGGGATGGCCACACCACAATCCCTTCTATTCCATTCTCATCTCAGGATCTTGGGCACGCATGTACACATACCCCATGTGAGTTTAAGCCACCAGGTCTAAGACTCGAACCATAGTCGACTACATGGGAGTCTGGCAACACAGTCATTATGCCAACTGCTGGTCCCCCATCTTGTATGTTTTTAGGCCACCAGACCCGGGATTCGAACTACACAGTTGACCATGTGAGATCCAGGACCTTAACCTTCACACCACCTGCTGACCCTCTTGACCCGTTCATACTCTGACTGGAACTATCAGAAAAGAGGAACTTCTTTATATGTAGCTCAGATATTCTTCATGACTTTACTATATAAAAGCTCCAAATTCATCAGCAACACTGTCTATATTAAAAAATTTCCAATGTACTTTCCTCTTCTCCTTTTTTTAAAAAAATTTAGTTTTTTCGCCATAGGGTACATACGCTCACTGGATGGAAACAGAGAGAACCAGTGGAAGGGAAAGTGAGAAGTCACCACCTGGGTGATGACCACACGGCAATCCGTTCTCCTATTTCTTCTCCCTGGGATTTTGAGCATGCACACGCACAACATGATTTTCAAGATGCTGGATCTGGTACTCTGACCATGGTCAACCATATGGAATTCCAACACCTTAATCACCATGCTACCTGCTGGTCCCTTACAACGGGCTTCTAAAAATTACCGTTAGGCATGCTTGATTCACAGCACATATACTAAAATTAGAACAACACAGAGAAGATCAGCATGGCCTCTGCTCAAGGATGGCACACAAATTCATGGAGTGTTCATATTTTTAGAGGAAAAGGAAGAGGATGTGACACTCGAGCATATCTGGAAAGTGGTCTGTCCATGGAGATGGAAGCAAGTTTCCACAAAAATAAATAAATAAATAAATAAAACTTGCTGCTGACAAAAAATGATGATGATGATTTTGGCAAAAAATGAACAAAGATCAAACTAGAAGGAAAAGGGCTCAAAACCATAAACACTATGATCAAAATGTTGAGACTCAGGGACCAGCAGATGTCATAATGGTTACGTCACTGATCTCCCACATACGCAACCACGGTTCAAGTCCCAGACCGACCCAGCAGCTGAAAGTCAAACCTGGCTCATGTGTGCCCAAGATCCCAAGAGGAGAATGGAGGAGAAGGCAATGGGCATGGCCATCGCCCTGGTAGGTGATTTCTCACCTTTTACTCTCTGTCTTTCTCTGCCTTTCCAGTGAGTGCACACATCCTTATAGCAAAAACCTCCCCCCACCCCACCCCAAAAAAGAAAAACAAAACAAAACAAAACAAAAAAAACAGAAAATAAAAAACTCCTAAAATGGTAAAAGGACCTAGTTTTGTACAAGACATTAAAGTGAAATTGCAGGCAAGTGTACAAAAAGGTGTTTCTCTTCCCAAAGTGGAAGTTGAGTTCATCAGTTACAGTGAAGAATTGCTTCTGGGTAACTGACCGGGAGGCTATTCAAGATCTCTGGCAGTGGAGAAAGTCTCTTTAAGAAAATAGTTTAAGGGACCAGCAGTTAGCGTAATGGCTATGTTGCTGAACTTCCACGTAGTCGACCACAGTTCAAGTCCCGGACCCGATGGCTTAAAACTCATGCCGGACGCGGGAACCAGCAGTTAGCGTAATGGCTATGTCGCTGGACTCCCACGTAGTCGACCGCGGTTCGCGTCCTGGACCCAGTGGCTTAAAACTCACGCCGGGCACATGTGCGTGCGTGCCCAAGATCCCGAGAGGAGAATGGAGGAGAAGAGATTGCGGCATGACCATCCCCCCTGGGGGGTGATTTCTCGCTTTCTGTCTCTATGTCTCTCTCTGTCTGTCTTCCCGAGAGGAGAATGGAGGAGAAGGGATTGCAGCATGGCCATCCCCCCTGGGGGGTGATTTCTCGCTTTCTGTCTCTATGTCTCTCTCTGTCTGTCTGGCGAGCACACACGCCCTACAGCAAAGACCTCTCCAAAAAAATGTCTTCCCACTTTTTTGGTATCATTTTTAGTTTATTTTTCAAGTGTTTCATAGTTTTCCTCATAGACATCTTTGATGCCTTTGGTAGAGTTTATTCCTAGATATCTTATTACTTTTGTGGCCATTGTAAATAGGATTGCTTTCTTCGATTCTGTCTTTTTGTCCATTGTTGGTGCATAAAAATGCTGTAGGTTTTGTATGTTGATTTTGTATCCTGCCACTTTACTATATTTATTTATCATATCCAGAAGTTTTTATCATGGATTTTTGGGATTTTCTATGTGTAGCATCATATCATCTGCAAATGGAGATCATTTCACTTCTTTTTCTATTTTGATGTCTTTTATTTGACTTTCGTGTCTAATTACGTTGGCTAGAATTTCCAGCACTAGGTTAAGAAAAAGTGGAGAAAGTGGACAGCCTTCTCTTGTCCCAGTTTTCAGTAGAAAAGCTTTCAGCTTTTCCCATTTACTATGATATTAGCTATGGGTTTTTCATAGACGGCTTTCATTGTGTTGAGGATTGTCCCTTCTGTGCTGATTGTGTTGAGAGTCTTAATCATGAACAGATGCTATATTTTATCAAATGCTTTTTCTGCACCAATTGATTTAACCATATAGTTTTTATCTTTCCTTTTGTTAATGTGGTGTTTTCCATTTATTGTTTTGCATATGCTGAAACAGCCTTGTATCCCTAGAGTAAAGCCTACTTGGTCATGGTGTATAATTTTTTTAATATGTTACTGAATGTGATTTGCTAAGATCTTGTTGAAAATTTTTTCATCTGTAGTCATCAAGGAGATCGGTCTGAAGTTTTATTTTATTGGCATGTCTTTACCTGGTTTTGGAATTAAGATGATGGAGGCTTCATAGAATGAATTTAGGAGGGTTCCTTTATTTTTAATTTTTACAAATAGTTTAAAGAGAATTGGGGTTAGTTCTTCTTTAAAAGTTTTGTAGAATTCAGAAGTAAAGCCATCAGGACTTGGATTCTTCCTTGTTGGGAGATTATTCATTATTGATTCAATCTCATGGTTTGTTATGGGTCAAATTCAGACTTTCTATTTCTTCTTGGTTCAATCTTGGTAATTTATATGTGTCTAGAAATTTGTCCATCTCATCTAAGTTTTCTTATTTGTTGGCATATAGTCTCTTGTAGTAGTCTTTGATGATATTTTGTATTTCTGTTATGTCTGTTGTATTAATGCCTGTTTCCTTGCTGATTTGATTTATCTGGTTTTTATTGTTGTTTTTCCAGTTCCCTGAGTTGTGTCATTAGGTTGTTTATTTGACACATTTTTGCTTTTTGTTTTTCCTCATGGGCACTAATCTCTATTAACTACCCTCTTCAGACTGCTTTTGCTGGATCCCATAGGTTATAAACACTTGTTTGTTCATTATCATTGGTTTCTTTGAACCTTTTGATTTCAGTCTTAATTTCTTCTATTGTTGTAAAGTTTCAGGAGTAGGTTGTTTAGTCTCCATGTGTTTGTGAATTTTTGAAGGCTCTTTCTGTAGATGATTTCAAGTTTGATTCCATCATGGTGAGCAAAGATGCTGGATATAGTTTCTATACATTTGAATTTATAAAGGCTTGTTTTGTGCCCTATCATGTGATCAGTATTTGAAATGTTCCATGTGTAGGTGAGAAAAATGCATAGTTTTTGGTAGTTGGGTAAAATGTTCTGTTGACGTCTGTCAAGTCCATTTCAAGTATTATCATTTAGATCTTGTGTCTTTTTGTTAATTTTTGTCTAGATGATCTGCCCAGAGGAGACAATGAGGTGTCAAGATTCCCTACAATTACTGTTTTGCAGTCTATCTCTCCCTTGAGATCTATCTGTTTTTCTTTGATGTAGTTGGGTACTCCAATGTTGGACGCATAGATATGTACCAATGTTATATTTTCTTGGTGAACAAGTTTTTTTAGTACCAAATAATGTCCTTTTTGTCTCTTCTTACATCTTTCATCTTAAAGTCTATTTTTGTCTAATAACAATATCGCGGCTCCAGCCTTATTTTGGTTTCCATTTTCATGGAATATCTTTTCCTAGCCCTTGACTTTAAGTATATGTATGTGCTTACCAATGATGTGGGTTTCTTGGAAGCAGAAAATAGATGGCTTGTGTTTTTGTATCCTTTCAGTCTATGTCTTTTAATAGGATAATTTCATCCATCAACATTCAATGTTATTATTATTTGTGGATTTATCTGTCATTTTGTTAGCCATTTTCTCAGTTGTTTTTATTCTCTTATTTCTGTTTGTCTCTCTTCAATTATCCTGATACAATACTCCCGCAGTAGTTCCTGCAGAGTTGGGTCTAGTATTGGTGAATTCTTTCACCTTTTCTTTTTTTTAATCTGAGAATTATTTGTTCTGTTCTTTCCATTTGAAGGATAATTTTGCTGGATATAGTATTCTTGGTTGAAATTGTCTCTCTTTTTATGTTTTGAATACATCTTCCCATTCTTTCCTTGCCTGCGTTGTTTCAGTTGAAAGGTCTGAAGTTAGCCTAATGGGATAACCTTTATAGTAATTTGATGTTTCCCCCTTGCCATTTTTAGAATATTGTCTTTGTCTTTAGTTTTTACCAATCTGCATTGATGTGCTGGAGGAGAATCTTTTTTGTGTTCATTCCATTTGGGCTCCTTTTTATTTCTTGGATCTAAATTTCTCCATCTCTCTGTATTGGAAAAATTTTAGACAGTATTTCGTGAAAGAGGTTTTCCATGCCTTTAGTATATTCTTCACCTTCTGGAATACCCATTATATGGATATGTGGTTGTTTCATGGTGTCTAGAATTTCCTGTATATTGTCCTCATATTTTTTTGGTTGTTGTTTTATTCTTTTTGGTGGCTTGGTTTATGTTGGAGACTTTATCTTCAAAGGTCAGAAATGTTTTCTTCTGCATGGTCTAATCTGCTGTGCATGCTTTCTGGAGAGAATTTAATGACTTGTATTACAGTCTTCATTCCTAGAAGTTCTGTTTGATTATTTTTTAGGGAGTCTATTTCTTTACAAAATTCTTTCATGTCCTGAAATGATTTTCTCATTCCCTGGAACTGATTTTTTTTCTCTTGCATCTCATTGAGTTTTGTCAATGAATATTGGGAATTCTTTTTCTGACATTTCTGTGTATTCTTCAGTGTTATCCATTGTTGCTGAGGGAGTACTACGCTCACCTGGGGGACTGTTGCCTACTTGTTTTCTCATGTTTCTTTGAGATCTGTGCTGGATTTCAGTCATCTGATGCAGTATTCCCTTTTTTTTCAATTTATTGGGGTAGATTCTGTAGTATTACAAGTGGAAATTTCACCCTTAGTTCCCAGGTCTGTTCCTGTTGAATGGCTGTGTCTACCAGATCAGAACAGTTATGGGTAACGGGTAACTTCAGGTGTTTGACTTCTCCACTGAACATTCAGCTCTTGATGAAATTGTAGCAAGCTAAGGAGATATAACTTAGTGAAAAGGATCAAGTTGTGTGACACACAGGCAAGTGTACCAAAAGTTCCAAAGTGACTCCCAAAGCTCGAGGGTGAACTCATAAGAGGAGGTCTGAGTCCAGGCTCAAGTCTCCCGGGGCATGGGGCAAGCCCAGCTCTAAGAATTTCTAAATCCACCTATAACCTATAATCCTTTGCTTCTAGATATTCCACTTTTTGGCCCGGGACAATATGAAAATTTCATATGTTGATTTATAATCTTGTTTGTACCTCTGCTTTGAGAACTAAATAAAAGAGCTATTGTATCTAAGCCCTCCAGAACATTTCTCAACACTAGTGGAGATTGTGCTCCTAGGCCATGGTCACTCACAATTT